GCTCACGCCCGTCCCTCTCACCGTTCCATCCGGCAACTACCTTTCCGGTCCCGTAGCTCCGTGCCGCACCACTCTCAAAGTAGCGAATGAGCAGCACACCGGCTTACTACAGGGGTTGCCTCTCTATGATTATAGGGGGATGAAACTCCCCGCTAGAATATAGGAACATACACGGCCTTGTATCCTGCAGCTCCACTCACCCCCGACCACGTACGTAGCAAAACTCCTCAGTTTCCCGTTCTTCTGATTTCTCTGTCTCCTTCCCCACTAATCCTTCCGCCCGGTCACATACCTTCGAGATGAGTGACGAGCCATCAATCCTGGGAACTTGCGAACTTCAGGTAAGCTCTTTCTTTCTTCGTTACTTTGTTCTTCCTCATTTCTACCCTCTCCTTGACTGGCCCAACACCGCATCCTTGGATAGTGTTGAGTAACTCTCGAATGAATCTCCCACTAGAATGTGGGCAGATACATTCATACCACAAAAAGTTTTCTCCCTCGCGCAGTCTTCGCATCTAATATTACAAGGCCTACTACCCCGACTTCAAAACCGCCTTCACCGCCGTGGTCACCCTATCTAAAAACCTCCGAACAGTATCTTACCCCGCTCGAATCCATCGAGGATCGGGCGAGGTACGAGCGTTTTTCGTTCCCGTCATTTTCCCCCTCCGCCATAACTCCCCGCAATCATCCTTTCTTACTAACTCTATTTCTACTAATCTCCCTCCCTAACTTACCACGGAATTGAAATCGGCCCCGGTCTAAAACCCCCGAGGCAGTTTCTCACTCGCTGAAATCCATCCTCAAACGAGTAAACAGAGCCTTCTTTTTCCTCGTCTTCTTCCTCGCTCCCGCCATCTACACGCACGTCTTTTTCTTCCTAGCTTCTAAAACACCAACTTCTAACTAAAACTAACCTCAGATTTGAATTCACCCATTCTAAGAACCCCTCACACGTGCGTTTCCCCGCCCGATTCCGCGGAGGATTGGGCAAACAACCCCACTCACAGCTGCGCTCAGCTGGTGTTCCCGCCATCTCAACTATGGTTGGCGCAGAGCCCCAGCCTCGTTCGTTCACCCCCCTTCCCGGCTTTCCCCTTCTGCCTGCCTCAACGCCCGTCCGACAGTCGCCCCGCAACAGTCTGTCCATCGGCCCCCTCTCTCTCCGCCTGCACCCGGCTCACTCGCTGCCATCTTCGCTCCCTCGCGCCTCATGCACTTGCCGCAACATCTCGTCCAAGTTCACTCGCTTCTCGGTTTGCCTTGCCCTGCATCCTTCGCTTGCCAGTGTTGTGCTACCTGTCTCCCCCGCTCGCTTTGCCTCTGTTGCGTCGCTACTCCACGTCGACACCCGTCGCCCGCCGCTGCGCAGCGCTGCCCGGCCGAGTTGTGCCCCTTGCCAGCTACACTCGAGGTCGTCCAGCGCTGGGTGTTAGCGCCTCGACAGTTCCAGCTATCCTAAGGGAAACTCCCGAAGGTGCCGCCTCCTTAGACGGTTAGTCTTTCGTCCCTATGCCCGGGGATCGTCGGCCGACCTCTGCAATAAGAGTCGCGGCCTCCCTGGCACAGCGTCCCCGAGCGGTCCGCCCATCAGCCCTGAACTACCGACTGGCCCCTGGCCGGTACACCCTGCTTGCTGCAGCAGGTATTGTACTGCCGGTGGCTGTAACCCCCGCCTCGGCGCGCGGTTCCACAGTCGTACACCACACCACTGCGATTCTCAGCCATTGCGGAGTTTCTCCACCGCCTCGAGCCCCCAATGGGCATGCTCACGCTCAAACCTCTCTCAACAGTTTGCGGGTGGCGAACGGCGCGCCCTGCGGCGAACTCTGCCAGTCAAGCTTCTTCAGCTTCGTGGGCTAACCACCCATCAACTCTCATACGCGTCGACTTCCTCAGTCTGTGTTTCAAAACAGTCAAAACAAAAAGGAAAAGTAAAATTCCGCCTGCATCCCGGACACGCGGACCCGTCAAATGGGGCCCGCACTCAAGGTTCTCGACTGTCGCGACGCCCATTAAGCCCGGCGTCCCTTCCAGGTCAACGACACGCCGGCGTATAGCAAGAATTATTAGGAATACGATGCTAAAAAGAAATACTTAGAAAGTGCCACCACCGATCGGACGCCGCCGACGGCAAAACCAAGGGGGATAGCCCAACGACCCTCGACCCCCTCGGCCCCTTCGCACCACTCGGATATTCCCGCGTCGTCGCCACTCGACCTCGATTCCTTAACGTCTCAGATAAAAGTCCGACGCAGTAACTAACAGTGCTAGGCCCGAGTCTGGGACGCCTAAATAAACGGACACTGCGCGACGCGTCGAGCTACCGAAACGCCTTCAGAAGTCACATTGTTGTCGATGCCGTCCTCCGTACGTAAGCACAAGTCACATGTAAGCACATTAATCAACGAGACGTAATCTTTTTAATCCCTGTTTAATCAAGAGAAAAACATTATGGCCTGCGATCACGCTGACTCTTCAATCATCAACAATTAAAAAATCACGCTCGCCTCAAATCTGCACGCCCACACACTCTTTATTCTAGCCAACCCTCCAGCCAACGTGAACCATAGATGCTGTCGCGCCTCGCGCGGAATACTTAAACTTTAAACCAAACTTATTTTCTGTCGCTTGCAAAAACCAGGGCGGATACCCTTGTAAGGGTATTTGCACCGACAACGCAGTGTCTTCTCCCCATCTATGCATGGCTGAACTTCCGCTACATACTATGATCTGTGTACAGTTTGGACTCTGTCTCCTCTCCCCCTTCTCTTATGCATGTATGGGCGTGTATGAGACTGTCTGTGTGTGAGTGGCGGTAAAAATCGTCAGACAACCAAGTTCATAACACAGGTCACGGGTTCAACTCTAGGGGTCGACACAGGTAAGGTAAGGACTAGCGATCGAGCCCTGGGATCTGCACTCGCTACTGCTAACAGGTGAATACCGTTTCATAATGGTGCACACCTCAAGGAAGTCAATGATCTTAAAAATGTGGAAAACCAGCATACGATCTACTGCTGCCACAAGTTCGTCACCAGGAATACGGACCTTGATTTCCGATTTGGCACGCTTCCTGGACGGATCAGTGGACTTCAGAGACATTGCAACAAGGCTCGGTGGTTACACCGGGCTTATATTTTCGAATCACGTATTTTGGGGCCCTTGGCCGTTAGGCCCGTTACTGTAGGCAGGCTCATTGGGATAATGGATTAGGACCAGTCACCGGACCTAGAGAGTGCCAGACTTGGTACCTGAACTTCGGTGCTGCTGGCCTAAATGCAATACCGGTCGTGACATCTTGCTGCTGCACTACGGGTCAAACCTGGTTGGAAAACTGAGTCGAGAAATTATGTTGGCGGGACCAGCGAAATTTCAGGAGGCTGCTCAGCTCAACTTGTGCGATCGAAGAAAGGCCTTGTGGAATATATACGAGGGGAGGACAGAACAGGTACGGGAGAGTCTTGGAACAAGGAGTCCGGGGCCAACAGGACAGCAGAGCCCGCCGCCATTCTCATTCATACCCGTTCGTGTTAGTGTGCTGGATGCAGTCAGCACAGCTCTCATGGGCAGTCATCAGCGGGCAAGAAGTGAGTGAAGTGGGAAACAGAGTGAGAGAAAGACGGCAGGCAAGAGAGAGAGTGAAACAGTATGTGCGTGTATGTGAGAAAGAGAAACGTGGCTTTCATGCACCTGATCCCAACAGTGGACAGATACATTCAAGATGGTGCGTGAGTGAATTTGCTCATTAGGCGTACGAGGGAACGTGGGGAAAGAGTGCTCGAGCAGCAAAGTGAGAAAGGGAGAGTAACAGTGTGTGGGAACGAACGAGACAGCATGTGCACACAGGTGGGTAAGTGAGGGAGACCATGAGAGAGGACAAAGAGAGTGAAGGAGATAGTGAGAGAGAGAGGCCAGTGCCTAGTTCTATGAACCTGGCGCTAAGGGGGACAAGATTCATCTAAGATTCGAGCCTGTCCGATTGCGAAGCAGTACCGGGCCAGCAACCGGTAGGCGCGCGTTCGTGAGAGAGAGAGAGAGAGAGAGAGAGAGAGAGAGAGAGAGAGAGAGAGAGAGT